CACCCATTTTCAACTCGAGGAGTAGAAAAGCTAGGAAGCTGAAATTTCGGGAGTATGTGCTCACATCATGTGCAATCCTCCCGTTTTAATTTCACCACCAGCGTATGCCAGGTCCCATGTACGGACGCTTAAGAAATATGCAAATTTCTGACGGGAAAGCGAACTCGGGAACCAGACAAGATAAAGAGTTAGCACTTTGTAGGGATATTTCCTGTGCAAATGTGAGCTAAAGAATCCAAACTCAGCTCCAAAATGTTAACGGTTGTGAGACCGGCACGTGAAGTATATGGCTGGGAAACCACTAACTCTATAATCAGAAAGGCCGTAAGGCTGAAATTTTAAGGGAGTGTTTTCTGTCCGCGTACAATTTGAAAATTTCAAATTCACCCAGGGTACGTATGATGTTCACGTATGGGCGTGTGAAGTTTTGGCAGGGAAGTTGTTAACTCGGGGACCAGATAAGTTAGATAGCTGAAATTTTAAAAGAATGCTTCCTGCCCAAGTACAGCTCAAAAATATCAAATTCAGCCTGTAAATATGGTGGCTTTCGCTCACGGGCACTTAAATTTTTGGTGGGAAAATTGCTCACTTAAAAGCTAGGTCTTAAGCTAGCTTAAAAGCTAAAAGCTAGGTCTTAAGCTCACTTAAAAGCTAGCTCACTAAAACATCCATATGCCCGTACATGAGCACTGAATTTAGATACAAGGGATCGCACGCAGCCAGGGAATATTCTCCTAAAATCCCAGCGTATAGTTTTCGTGTTTCCCCAGTAAGACCAATGAGAGAGTGAACATTCTTTTGTTGTTCTCAAGTGAGACCTACGCATGCGCGAGAATCGAATTTATACGCGGATAGCGAGCATTCTTCCGAAATTGAAGCGTCCCAGCTTTCCTGGTCCTCAAGTTAATAGTTTTTGCGCCAAACTTCACACACACGTCCGTACGTGAGATTTGGAAGTACGCAAAAGCTGAATTTAACTTCACAGGATCACATACAAGCAAGAGACATTCTCCCAAAATTTCAGCTTCTTAGCTTCTGTGCGTTCTGCGTTAGTACTTTAAGCGCCAAAACTTCTATGCGACCGCGCGTGACATATAAATATTTGCAAGATCATACGCGGTAGGAGAACCCTCTTAAAATTCCAGCCTCCTAGCTTTTCTGGTTCGCGACTTGAAAACCCCGGTTAAAACGCACTCGAAATACACAAACACACACATATACAGACACAAAAATACACACGCATACACACAGGTGCCAACAATATGCGTTTTGTGCAACTGTTGCAGCACAATACACAAAAAAACTAAACCTGAAAAACACCTGTTAAGACAGAAAATAAAGAAATTTTGGGAGTGACAAACAAAAAGGCACAAACAGTAGCTCAAGTGACAAAACTCACAACGACAAACTTAAAACAAAAAGCAACCTCAACGAAATGCTGTTT